CTTTCCTTAATTAAAACCCCTATGTATTTACCCCTTATTTGTATGCTATGCACAATATGTTTACTTGATCTCCTTCTTAAATAATTTCTGCCCTTTACCGTTCAAATTTGAACTCCTCAATCAAAGGATTTTCTGATATTGATTGATTCTAATTGATACATGATTATTTTCTTACCTTTGTTCCCTGCCTGATTTCAAACTATAAATACCTGCTCCTTTCTTAACACACACACGACCAACACTCGAGTCTTTTTTTTCTGAACTAAGACTCACACTCATAAGTATACTCTTGCTATTTGTATTGTGGCCTGTTACAAGATTTCTGCTCTCTTTGCTTTCTGAAACTGGTATGTCCTAGTTTTAATTCTAGCCCCAACCCCAATGTGTTTACTTACCAGTTCTTATGTCCATGTTCACTTTAATGTCTGAAGTATTTAATCTTTGTGTAATGTGTTCTGCCCATTTCTTGTAATGAATCCCATTCCTATATCCCCTTATGTGTTTTGAGCTATGGTTCAAAAACATGGAAATATAGCTGAAGTTATTGTCCATGGACATGAACTGGACCCTTTGGGTCCTAAGCTCTTTCAATTTCCCATCCCCATTCCCTTATTATGTGTGTTGAGTTAAAGCTTTGGCCTGACAGTATTCTAATTACTGCCCAGGCCATGGCTTGACCTTCAATAGGTCCTTACTCTCCAATGTTTGGCCGACAGGCTTGGTCAGGGGTGTGCCATCCTACCTCATGGTTAGGTATGACCACCAGGCTGCCTTGGCATTCCTCCCCCCCCCCCTCTATAGCACTGGCACTCATTCTTAGAACTTAAGTTCTGCCCCTCTCTTGTGAGCCTTGCTTTGGGACCCCTGAGCTCCCTCTGAACTTGGACACTTGAGGGTTGGCTCTTCCACACTGCACTATAACTCATTCTGATTAATATCTTGGGTGTAAGCACTGCCTGGGGTTCCTGAAACCCCCTTGGATCTCTGAAACACCCTAGATAGGAGAAGGCCTTGGAAATCTTGATCTCGGAAGTGGTTCAATCTCATATTATTAGGCACTAAGTTTGAATTAGGCTGCTCGGATGTAGCTGATAGCTTCTGATGTACTTTTAATTTCAGTTTTGTTCTACTGGTCTATAATAAATTGTATAAACTCATGGGGATTTAGTAAAAAAGGGAGGGGATTTATTTTTTATGCACTAAGGGTAGATAATATGCCTATAGGGATTTATTTCTGATTTGTGCAACTTCACACGTAGAAAACATGTCTATAGGATTTAACATTCGATTTCTGCAACTAAGCACATAGACATCCTGCCTATAGGGTTTGCTTCTGAATTTCTGCACTTTCATATGTAGAAATCATGTTCACAAGTTTATACATCTGCATATAGAAATCATGCCTATAAGATTTCTGCACTTTCATAATCATGCTCATAGGAATTCTGCACTGTCATATGTAGAAACCATGCCTATAAGAATTCTGTATATCATACAGATATCCTGCTCATAAGAATTCTGCACGTAGATACCATACCTATAGGGGTTTGCATCTCTGCATATAATAGCATCATTAGGCAAACAGATAGGTTAAAAAATAAAAAAGTGGCATATGTAGATATCTTGGTTTACAAGGCTTCCATTAGTATTTAAAAGGGTGTCACGTATAGAAAGCATGCCTATAGGGATTTCGAAACCAAAAATTGTCTCACTTATTCAAAACAGTATTGATTTTACTAAAACAAACGACTTTTCTTCCTAAACCTACTTGCATGAACTCTGGTAAACATTTCCCAACCGATCTGCATTCTGGAACTCGTTTAGTTGTTAAACCACGTACCCTTTTCTGAAACTTTTTTGTTACTCTGAAATTTTCTTTTAAAATCAGCTTGTGTTTTAAAATCAGTAGTTCTATCCAACACATAGACAAAAAAGGGTTTAACTAATCAACTGGATCAGTCTTAGACAACTGCATTCGAGTAAGCCTAATGTAGACTTCCTATCTAAAAATATGTATTGAATCAGTCTGCTCATCGCTTTAATTTAATTTAAGACTAAACCAGTACGTGCAAGACATGCTAAACTCTATGGCTTTATCTGATTTTAGGAGGCTTATGTGAGCCCTACCTGTTTATTTACTTTCCCCCTTTACTTGCATTATGTGTTTTGATTGATGCCTTTGTATTTTGTCCTTTGAAAACTCTCCAAAAGGCCCCAAACCCCTCTCCCATTAGGACTAGTTAGTCCAAATGCCTCCGGGACTGATAGGATTGGGACGGGTACTAGCATGCAATAAGTAACGAGACATTCCGCGCTTTAATACGTTAATGGGGTGGGAAGGGTAGATATGGATATGATGACCACGCGATAACACCACGTATATAAACGGTTACCGGGTGTTGTGTGGGGTGATCCATATTATTTATAAATCTAGGACCCCCTTTCCCTTTACTTGTTTATGTTTATTTTCAGAATTGTTCAAACCATTTCCTCAAAATTTCTGCTTTCTTTATTTTTCTCCAAATTTTCAATTCACTTGCAACATTATGTGTCAATCCCCTTCTATTTGAGACCTCTATTTGTTTACTTGTTGTTTGCACTTAAAGTCACAATTGTAACATGATCGGGAACCACACTAGTGGATCTTGAGTGGTGCCTAACACCTTCCCCTCGAGATAATTTCTAGCCCTTACCCGAATTCTGGTTCTTCATCTCAAACTCTTCCTTAAAGTGTCCTAATGCACTATAATCATTAGGTGGCGACTCTTCAATTCCAAATTCCCAAACGGGAATAGAGTTGTCTTTTCCAAAAATGTCGTAAACCCGGTTTCCTGGGAAAAAGGGGGCGTCGATAACGGGTACGCATAAAATGCGCGGTACCCCGAGCGATGTACTTGTACTACATCGCTACTAGCAGGAACAATTTCAACATGGTCCGGGATTCGCTACTTAGTCCTAAATACAGTAATCGCCGCCACATCCATTGTAGAAATGACAGGTTCAGGTTCATCCTCTGGTAGGTTTTTGAAGTCTGATCTTGCCTTCCCGAAGGGTGGTATTATCTCGTCCACGGTGGGGAAGTTTTCATCTTCCACCATGGCCACCCCTTCCTCATGAGGAGGTGCATCCGCAGCCAACGTCACAGGGTCAGATGAAGCACTGGCCATTTTTTCTGATTCTGTGCGAAAAAGATCTATAAAGACGAAGGAGATGACAATAGCAAAAGATACTGGAGGAGGAAAGAAAGCACAGAAGCTAGAAACTCGAAGAAGAAAAGAACTCGGGCTTCAAAGGCTCTAAAAATACAACAATTCAAATTAGGAGTGCCTATCCCTATTTATAAGATTATAGGCACCCCAATCGAGAAAGCCCAAACGTCGCCTCATTAATTTTGAAATGGAAGAAACGAGGGAAATGATATAATGCATGGGGAACGTACGCCATATTGACGCATGATGAAACAATGCCATTCAAAATGGCGTAACAGTCAGGTGCGACACTTGAAGCGTCACGTCGCCGTCTCGCCAAAAAAGGGGAATTGCTCTTCGGCCAATGTGCTCAGGTTTTTCAAAAAATGCAACTGGCGAAGTCCGCCCATCGGGCTCGCCCAAATGCAACCCCGACGGGCAGAAGGACTAACTGTATAGGTCAAAATCTGAACAAAAGAATTATGCTTAAGGAAGAACGACCAAGAGTCAACCAAGCCGAGGTCACGTATAGGAAGCAATATACCGCCAAGTGATTCAGTCACGGTCGAAGTGGAGCACTCGATTCAGCCTGAACGGCTAGTTCAACACTTAGACATTCTAGAGGAATATTCTACGGGATATTCCAAGAACTTAGGTACTCCGGTTAAGGACCGCTGGGTAAGGAAAATATTTGGTATAAATATCATGAGAGAGTGTGACATAAGGGGGATAATGGGAACACACACAAAAACAAATACATCTCTCTAAAGGTGAATATGTTCCAGATCTGAGGCTTCTCGCCGAAAAAGGAGAAAAAAGCTTAGAATCTCGGTATTCATCTGTTATTCAACTGTATCAAATGTACGAAGGTCGATCTTGCTGAAGAATGGTGACTCCTTTCATTTATATACTCTTCATTATCATTTGATGTTATTGAAGCAACCATCCTACCCTTACATTACGAAGTCCAATCGCAACTGTAATCAAATCTTATGTTCGACTATGCTTATTTATTCCAATCTTATATCTTCGATTTAGAATGAATTATTTCTGGCTAGGATTTGCCCCTCTTCAACAAAAAGAGCCTAAAACTTTTTGGTCAAACAGAAAAATAAAGAATTCTTTCGCTTAGAAGTATTTAAACGCGTTTCCCTTTTGCGGGATGCTACTCTCTTAATGCATGGCGTCTGATTCGAAGACACTTTATTCGATGAACGGCATTATTCTATATCCAACGGCAGATAATTGTGCTCTTAACTCTATACATGCATTAATAACCGTTTGGATTAGTTCTAAATGACGACAAATGCTAATTGAGGGGTTTCCGCTTCCGCCCTTGAGAGAGCTTGAAAAGTCAGAGAAATCAATTGTGGCAATGTGCATCGCAATACTAAATTAATTAACGGTAAAAGGCAAAGAGGAAAATAAACTTCGATTTATCTAATAAGAGACAAACATTGTACGGGTCATTTACACCATAATGAGCCTGGTTTTGCCTAAAAAGAAAACCACCATTTGGTTTCCAGCAACCTCAAAACTCCTACATATCTCTTTACCCAATTATACGGACGCAACTTTTACTTTACAAGAGAGAGAGAGAGAGTGTCCTCTAATGATCATTTCATTCATCTTATAAGATACTTATGTATAATGCTTAGAAGCAGCAGGTTTTAGTGATGATTTATTATGTAGGTCAAGTGATTAATTATTGAGGTCTTTGTTCCATATTATTGCATGTCCATGCAGAGTAAGCATTAAATTGCTGCTCAAGTTGCCGGGCCAGCAATATTTGACGTATACCCTCAAGTCTTTGCCGAAGGAGGGCGGATTCGGTCCTGAGCCGCTCGTTGTCACACTGTACAAGTTGGCACTGATGGGTCATCAACCGAAACCGGTTCGTTAATTCCCGGTTCCCAACTTTAAGCCGGTTCGCTTGGTTCCGCAGGTTCTCCAGATGCTTTTGCTTTCGCATGCGGGACCGCCTGGCTGATTCCCGGTTCGAGACCATACGACGGCGCTTTCTCTCATCTATGTCCCGGTTCGAAGTCGTATTCCTCCGCTTTCTCTTATCCGGACAGCAGTTCGTGTTATTATCATTATTCTTATTCCGGCTTGGCTCATCAGAACCGGAACTAGAATGAACGGTATTCGGTTTAGAGTCATCAGACCCTGAACCGGAGTTGGATATAACCGGTTCAGGGGGTGGTGATTCTTTTAGAGAAATAACCGGTTCTTCTTCCACTTGTTGTGGAAATAGAAAAGACGGCTCGATACACTCCCACGGAGTGAAACCGCCATCAAAAGCCGGAAACAAGTGGGGGAAAAGCCCATCGGCGGGCAGAGTAAGGGCCGGAAAAGTGGACAACATGGCCGGAAAATCGCTTACAGAGGGGGGTAGGTAGGTAGGAGGAGAAAAGGGATTTAGTAAGGTCACGAGTGTAGTATTTATTGACAAGATTAAGGAGTAGGTCGGGCTCCACTTAGGGGTATTTTAGTCATTGGACAAAACTTTTGAGTCAGGTGGCACTAGTGGGTAGGGCCCCCTAATTGGCTTTTGAAAGTAGATTTTAGGGTGACATAAGCAACAGGGACCCACATAAGCTTAGTCACGAAGGAACAAAAGAAGTGGGGACATAATGTGCCTACGTGTCATATTTTATATGAGCCGAGCGTGTGAGGAGCCAATCGTTTGAAAAGGTGCTTACGTGGAAGCACGTTTGAGCTCGGCTCTGGCTATGGCAAGCCGAGAGAATGAGCTGAAATTGAGAAAATTTTAATGAGAGTGATGGATTCCCCACTCTCTGGCAATCATATTTATCCATAGTGTTATTCTACGTAGAAGTGGATTATTTGATATGTGATTAGGTAATCTTCTGCTTTTCCTTAGGTTAATTGTATATTACTTGTACTTGCACAACTAGTACTATATAACACTCCAAAATACTGCTAATATTAACATTAACTAGTTTGTTGTTTGGACCACAAATCATATAGTGTAGATAGAGAAACGAAATGACATTTTTAAAAGAGCCAACTTTACTGGTAGTCAACTTGATTTTTATCTGCTATAAAAAATTAAAAACATCATTAATTATATATTCACCCTTGGAAGAGACTAGAGAGTAAGATTATATTTACTATTCCCTCCGTTCATATTAAATGAGATACTTTCCTTTTTAATCTGTTCCAAAACAAATGACACATTTCTAAATTTGGAAATAATTCAACTTTATACTCTTTCATTTTACCCATTTACTTTTAATGAGAAGCTTTTATAGCCATACAAATGTCATGGCCCCACAAACTTTTTACCCCTTAAGTTTTTAAGACCACAAGTTTCAAAAGTCTTCTTTTTTCTTAAACTTCGTGCCGAGTCAAACTACCTCATATAATATAATATGAAACGGAGGGAGTATTTGATGTTATCTATTTTGTGGTGTGCGAAACTACGCATGCGCAATATAATCTCTCCCGACTGTGGGTAAGTTTTTTCTTATTCAACGACTGTGGGCAAGTAAACCAAATAGTAGTGTGGAGATTTTGTGCGTAAAGCCTTATCCCACTGATTATTTTTGCGTCCTTGTTTTTTCAGTGGATTAACTGTATGCTTATCTTTGTAAATTCGAACACCAAGAATTTTTGCTTTTGTGAAAATGATAATAAGGAGGATAAAAAGAAGAAATAATGGAAAGCACAAGAAGGTGCTGTTAATAGACTGTATTTGTAAAATAATTCTGGAAATATAAATGAGTATAAACAGAAATGAACATAAACAGAAATGACATAAAACCAATTCGAGCCCACTGAATTCACAGTGTTTCCTTAAGGAATTTAATCCCCTCCTAGTACCCAAGGTTATGGATTATTTCCTCCCAGGATAGAACGAATTACACACTGGTGTAGTGGTACTTCAAACCCCAGTGTTTCAGCGAACACAAAGTTCGGTAGCAAATCACACTTACTTTTTGCTTTGTTTGATGCTAAAAGTATGCAGAAGAAGGAGAAGAAACTCAGAAAATCGTAGTGAAATTCTGAGCAGAATAGTGTTGTATTTATAGCCAAAGTTAGGCTGAAATCTGAAGAGGTGCAACTCTTCAGAATGG